GCTTTAGACCACTGAGCCATCTCACCAGCCCCCAGCACTTCCATTTCTGTGAAGCATCTTCTGGCTGTGTCTCTGGCACTTTAGTCTGGGTGTGATCTATTCCTGTTCTTCCCTTCTGACTTACCTCCTATTTTCATTGCCATCTCCGCACACCAACACCGTCACATAGATAGTGGAAGACTTGGAGACTGTTGTAGTCACTATCGGTGGTATTCACATCTGGTAATTGTTAATTCTGTCTAAGTGTGAGGCGAGTTCTTTATTTTTTCATAGCACACCAGAAGTCAGGTACAAATTCCTAATGAGGCTGGCCAAAAGAGGCACATGGGATGATAACCACTGTCCAACGTCAGACTCATCCAAGGGCCCTTCCTCCTGCTCTTGGCCCACATCTGCCATGAAGCAAAATGTAGCGTACCCTTTCCTATGGGAATCACTCCCGCCATCCCCACTATTGCAGTTCAGGAAAACCTGACCTTCAGCCTCAGAAAGAGAAGGAAAAACCCAGCCCCTGAGCCTTGATTCCCTAATTCTGAGTAATAGACCGTGGTAGTATACATTCCTTCCAGAGAAAATTAACTCAACTTTTGGATCCTATGAGGACAAATCATATTTGATAGCAATATATATTCTGAATTGGGTTATTCACTTAAGTGATATGTGCTAACCTCCATAGCGTAGTCTAGGTTTCCAATTCCTTGTCAGACTCTGCAATGAAGGCCCTTGGGATGTAGCTCTCTCAGATCCCTTTGTAGCCTGACTAGTGACTACAAACTGCCTGTAATCCCATCTGAGCCAGGGAAGTTCCAAGTTTGAGCCTGGCTTAGGAAATTTTTAGAGATGTAGCAAGACACTAAGAAATTTAAAAGGCTGGATATGTAGCTCAGTGAAGGCTCTGGGCTCAGTTGCCAGTACCAAAGGTGGGGGTGAGAGGTCACTTCATCTTGTTACACACACTTTAGGTACAATAAATGTGTTGTACCTCATTATATGTGTTCTTCAATTATAAAAAACAAAATTTAGAAAATAAGTTATTTTTCACCTAAATCAACATAAAGCAATGAGCGTAAGCCAATTAACCAAAACCAGTCTCCAGAAATTGGTGTGATGGAATTTCAGCTGAGGCCTCTTGGTTTCTAATATGAGAACTGATTATTAGGCACTGAGAAACTCTGAGGTGGTGGACTGGACATTGAATCTGAGTGACAAGCTTTGGAATAATAATGCCAGCATAAAGTCATGGAGAGGGGCTGGGGAGATGGCTCAGTGGAATAAGTGCTTCCCTGGGAAGCACAAGGGCCTGAGTTCAATCCCCCGTTCCGCCAACAAAACAAACAAACCAAAAAGTCATGGAGAGAAATGGTGAAGTCAGGCTGGATGCTGTTGGCTTCCTATCTCTGTGTCACTGTTGTCTTGCTCAAGTGTTATGCTGAACACCTTGGTTTCCAAGTTAATCATCATCTTGACCCTCCAGGAGCCAGGGACCCGCCCATCCTGTGGTGAAGCAGCCTATCCGTGGAGCCAGTAGCCGGACAGCAGTCACAGCGATCGTGCAGATTGGTGGGGACTGGAGCACTGGCCTCTTCAGTGTCTGCAGAGATAGGAGAATTTGTACGTTTTTCTCTTCATTTAAGTTCCTCCTTCCTATTTTTTCTTTCCCCAGACATTGGCAAATGAAAAAACTACACTGGGCACAAGGATGGTAATTAAAGGATTTAGAACAACTGGACTAATCTTGTAGTGACTCACACTTACTCCTCAGCTGGAAAAATCATGCTTTTCAGCAGTGTGGATGCCAAAAAGAATTTAAAGATTTTGACAAATGACAGAACCGCTGTTAGCAAAGATACGCAAAGCAGACTTGCTTATCGCCTGGTGGGGGATTGTAAATTGGTATAGCCTTCCTGCCAGGTGGCTTAGCAATACATAAAGAACCTCAAGAGTTACATAGATTCTGACCTAAGAATTCAGCTTTTTTTTTTTTTTTTTTTTAAAGTGCTGGGATCAAACCCAAGGTGTAGCACTGTTAGGCAAATATTTAACTGCTGAGATACATCGCAACCCTAAAAATTATTATAATTTTTTTATATTGTAAGGGTCTCCAAGCATTCGCTTGCGCGCTCTCTCTCTCCCTCTCCCCCTCCCCCCCCCCCCGGTTTCATTACGTAGATCAGACTCCTAGTGATCCACCTGTGTTCACCCTCCCAAGAACTGGGATTATAGGTGCACGCTACCATGCCTAGTCTCAATCTCCTTTTCAGCATGCCCCAGGGGCAGGGCTGGTACAGAATGCCAGGGATCGACCCTGTCCTCAGCGTCTGCCTAAGCAGGCACTTTAATCCGCTGAACTATTTGGCCAGCCTAACCCTAAGAACTGTTTTAAGGAATTTAAGGAAAGAAATCATTGCAGATACTTAGCAGAAAAATAAAAAAATTTGGCAAATTCCTAGAACAACGTAAACATTCAACAGGGGGTACCATATGATGACTTATATAGCCATGAAAAGTCAGAGTAGGGTAACAGTGAAATGAAAATATCTTTTGGATACAGGGTTAAAGAAGCAGATGTAAACTATTCACGTGAGATGCCATTTTTAGGGTGCTGTGCAAACATTTAGAAAAAGTCCGGAAGGATACAAATGCAAATGTTTATAGCAGATGTCTCCAGATGGTAGACTAATGAAGAATCTCAATCTCTCCCCCTCTCTCCCTCCCTCCTTCCTCCCTCCCTGCCTCCTTCCTCCCCCTCCGTCTGTCCCCCCTCATGTCCTTTTTTGGCACTGGGAATTGAACCTAATGTCTTACTGAGCTAACATCTCTAGCTCTTTTTAAATTTTTTTTAAAAAAAATTTATTTTGAGAAGAAGTCTCAGCCTCTCAGAAGATAAGATTACATGTGTGTGGCACCATGCCTGGCTTCTTTATTATCTCTTAATTTTCTATGAAGAATGTGTAGTACTCATAACAATAAACTTGTTGTTGATTGAAATCTTCAGACGTTGAATCAGCTCTAAAGAAGTACAAATAACACTGTGCTCTAGCTTCACAGTTTCCCTCTAGATTTTAAGTTAAAGCATATGCATTCAATTTTTATTTGAGGACATTCTGATCCACCTGTGATAAATATCAGGAATCTATTGCAGGTGATGCTCTCACCTAGGGAGGAGCTGGCTCATAGACTCTGTCCTAAAGAGGGTAGTGGTGGGGTAATCTGAGAGATGAAAGTCACTTAAAAATTCAAGAGACCCAGGTCTAATATTTTTGAAGAATATAGCGCTCTATCCTGTAGTACCTTCTCAGAACATCTGAATTCGTCCTGAGGTATCACAGGATGGATTAACCAGCGCACTCTGAAAGACCCTCAGCTGAGGGTCTTTCTTGTGGCTCTGAGCACCTTGGGCCTCTTGTTTCTACTGTTGCATATGTGATTTCTGGCCAGACCATGATGGGACCAGTTCTGACCATCCAGGGAGCTTGCTTGCTCACTCGCCCCCCACCACTTCTCTCTCATCTTTGATTGTCACTTGGGGCAAAGGTACACAGAAAGTAAAAGTAAAAGTAAAACAGATCTTGCTCAAATTAGTGAGTGGACCATTTTCTTTTCATAGCATGTGGTTTGAGGCTGACGAACATTAATACAATTCCAGATAAAGCAAAACCTAGAATATAATGTGAAAAGAATATGTTTGTAACAGATACAGATCTTGCCTTGGATCTCCCCTGTGCTCTTACTAGCCATGTAACCTTGAGCAAATTCTCTGGGTCTGCATTTTCTACTTCTAAAATGAAGATAATAAAGGTGCCACCTCTAAGGTTGTCAAGATTAAAGCAGGTAATACCTAGACCCCACTTTTAACACTAGTTTGGATCAGTCAGGGACTTTTGGTTACAAGGTATCCAGATTAGTGTTTTCTTAGAATGTGTGTACACTTGAAACCTCTAGATGTGACCTTATTCGGAAATAGGATACTTGCGGTGTGACCACCTGGATTAAGGAGGGCAGGAGATGGCCTCTTCCTCAGACCTTTCACAAGAAGCAGCTCTGCCAACACCTTGCTATTAGACCTCTAGCTTCCAGAATTCTCTAGTGAGAAGATAATTTCTGTTGTTTTAAGATGCTTAGTCTGTGATAGTTGTTATGGCAGCCCTTGGAAACTAATTTTAGTATATGTGCTGCTGAAGTGAGCACAACCCTTGGAAACTAATACACAAGTAAATGTTAGACCTTATTAGAAATCCACAGTCTAGCTCATACTATTAAAAGATCAGCTGGAAATCCAACTCAAAAAGGACAAGACAAGGGCAGACCAAATAGCTCAGCAGATTAAAGCACCTGCACGGAGGCACAGGGGCCGAGGGTTCGATCCCCAGGCCTGCCATGCTGGCTCCACCCTCAGGGTGTGAGAGCCATTTGAGAATGGGCGTGGTGTGCATGCCTGTAATCCCAGCTCTTGGGAGGCTGTAAGCAGGTGGATCACTATGAGTCCGATCTAGTAGTGAGACACTGAACACCCTGTAGGCCCTTTCCTAAAATACCAAAGAAAAGAAAAGAAAAAAAAAAAGGACAAGACAGATTATTACCAGGAACTTACAGACAGTCAGATCAACATTAAATGTTTTTATTCTTGTGTCATCCTGGCTGAGAACTGAAGATTCAGCAGCAGCAACAGCTCAGTATCCCTCGTTTAGGTGACATGCACACTGCTTGTTGAGGGCTATAAATGTTGCTTACAATAGTGAAGGGATAATTTCCTAAATTTACTATTAGGATGGAGTCATTTAGCAGAATTCCAACTAATATTACTACCTTGTGCTTAGTGAATTTTAGCTATTAAGATGATTCTCACTATATTTTTAAATTATTCTTCAGCATGCTGAAAGCGAAGAGTAGAGACTTCAGCCTTACACTGGATGCCACAGTGATTTCTACGTAATCCCAAGAGCATCTAAAAAGCTGGTGGAAGAGGTTCATTCCTCAAACACTCTTTTTTAAAAAATTTAAACATTTTTTTACTGCTCAGCTCTTTTCTAATCCCCATCAATATTTGTGATAGCAATCACAGACTTTCCTGAGAATTCCCTGATTGATGATTTGAGAACCTGTTCTAGTGAGGAGGGGAGAAGGAAGGCAATGTGGAGAAAAAACATGACACCATAGGTACAGCATTCATGGTGGTGGTGGATGTTCTGTTCCCTGAGGGGCCGGTGTACGTTCTCGTAGTGACTATAGTTTAATGGTCTCAGGAGAAAATGCAAAGGTCAGGTCAGTTTGAGCACTCATTATTGGCACCATGATTCTGAGGATGCAGTTGGAGTCTGAGTGTCCTGAATCTTGGGCTTCTTCCCCTCCTTGTTTAACAAGACTTTTAATTGTAGATTATTTCATTTTCAAAGTTTCATTGGAAGTAAATCATAGTACAAGTAGTTGCAACAGACTTGGGAACAAAGGAATCTTCCTTCCATGACTTTTCTAGGTCAGATTCCCATCCTGGGACGTTTCTCCATCAAATGCTGAGAATTATTGATGCATTTGTCAACCATTAAGCAAAGGGCACATTATGAACAGCAATGATTTCCATTTCTTTTGACATTTTGCATCTTCATTTTATTGTAATTATTTTAAAAGATTGTCCCCTCTTTTCCAACTTTGTGCTTTTATCTGAATTGATACCGTACTGAGATTAGTAAATGGGTGTCTCTGTGCCCTCTGAAGACAGAGTACCTGAGAACTTAAATGTGTGCTAAGTGGCACTGGTAACAGAATGGGCAGTTTGGTTTTGGCAGTATTTGTGATGTTACTGCAAGAAAGTTTATATGGATGGTGTAATCTACATTGGTTTGCAACCAGTCCATCTTTACTGAGTTCAAACCTGTGTATTGGCACATGATACACGTTACAGACGTAATAGTGAATAAGGCAGAGACAATTTTTTTAGATGAGGTAGATATATCAGTAAACAAAATAATAGCAGTTGTGATAAATGCCATGGAAGGAATAAATGGTGCTAAAAAGGGAAATTATATTGGATGGGGTAAAGAATGACTTTTTCTGGACTTCATTTAAACTCGTACTTGAAGGATATGAAAGAGTCAGTCTTTCACATAATTTCCCTGTAGAAGGCAACATACATACTAGACAGTAAAATCTTTTGATGTGTCCTGGGATCCTTGAAATGCCCAAACATTTCAAGAAGAAAGGAAGCCAGGATTTTCTTTGGCAGAGGCAGGAGGCATGAAAAGTTTAGCTCATACTATTGAAAGATCGGCTGGAAATCCAGCTCAGAAAGCCTGGGACCATATCCCCGCACTGCACCTGGGGCAGACTGCAGACTCCTTGCAGACGGGGACCACAGCTGTCTCTCATGCGTTGCTCTGGAGCTCAGCAGGGAACCTGGCCCACAGGAGATGCAGAAATATTCCTCAAGGACACAGTGAAGAGAACAAATTGTAGCCTTTATCATTTCTTCTTGCTTTCATGCACTTGATCACCAGCCTCAGCCCCAGAATTGGAAGGGAGAGGAGAAGCCAGCCAGTTCGGACCTTTGTCTGCCCTCATCCCCTCTGCAGCAGCACACCTGCCATGCCTGGATGGCCTCAGCTTTTGGAGCACTC